TTTTTTTTTTTTGAGATGGAATCTTGCTCTGTTGGAGTACAGTGGCATGATCTTGGCTCACTGCAACCTTTGCCTCCCAGGTTCAAGCAGTTCTTCTCCTCAGCCTCCTGAATAGCTGGGACTGTAGGTGTGTGGCGCCATGCCCAACTGATTTTTGTATTTTTAGTAGAGATGGGGTTTCACCATATTGGCCAAGTTGGTCGTGAACTCCTGACCTTGGCCTCCCAAAGTGCTGGGATTATAGGAGTGAGCCCCCACTCCTGCCCCCCCCCCCTTTTTTAATGGACAAAGTCAGATAGAATCTCAGGATGTTCATCTAAAGTTTCGTAAGAGTATGTGGAATTGAATTTATGATTTAATCCTATTCTTTTGTGTAAATACTGTCCTTGAAGATTAGTGTTGTTCCATCAATGAATGACTCAATGAAGGAAAACTGTCACTGCCTCCCGTTTCAGTCATGTCTTAGCTTGACCTAGCACTTATTTAAAAAATTTCCACTTATTCCTTCAGCCTTATATGAGTTCAGGTGGTAGATTGTGGAATCTCACCTGAGCTATTTTTAAAAACTAAATTTTGATTTTTTTCATGTTGATAACGGAACACCTCAGATCCAAAATCTGGAGCGTCATACTGTCTGCAAGAATAGCCAAGTCTAGGAGAAAAAGTCAATGGATTTTGAATGAAATTTTAGTGAGCAATTTCTGGCCACATATTTCAAAGGTAAACTTCACTAAGCACATCCCTTGCTTGTGGCTCAGAGAACAAATGTGAGGCATTCGAGTATTTTGCTTGGTCATGGATTTTGATAATGTCTGAATCCCTTTCCTCCCTCCAACTGGCCATCCTTTGGCTATAAAATGATTTTAAATGAATGTGACAGTAAAAGGATAGGTTCCTATCATTGGGGTGCTTCCAGAGGAATATTGCTCTCCTGAGAGCAAAAACATTTTAAATTAGACTGTCTGATGAGAAAATGTTTCCTATTAGAAGTTTCCTTGTGACTGAGTGGAGACAGGACCCATCTTAGTGAATGGCTTGTGCTCCAACAACTGATTAGGGTGTTCCAGGTTAGGTTAGGCAAATGTAGCTTTCCTTATTCATTCTACAGCCCAAGAGAGGTTACTGTCTTTGATTGAGAGAGAAAGGGCTGGAGGAGGGAGGACCTGATGGCAAAACAGAGGTGAAGCATGTTAATGTGGAGCCAGGTCAGGACTGAGTTCTTGTCACTGCATCTGCTGTCACTCAGTGATTTAGGGTGGAACTACCCTGAGAGGAATAAAGCAGAAATGTTTCTTTCCCCTGTGGAATAATCCAGCTTAAGAACCTGAGTGTACATTCCTCTGACGCTTTCTGACAGCTTACCATCCTCGAGGGGAAAACTAAATCGGATTTAGTCCTTGTTCTCTTTTCGCAAATAAATTTCTTCTCGGGAAACTGGGTTGCTCTGCCACAAGCTAACTTGTAAAAAGAGAAACTTTGCAACAGTGTCTCTTCTTGTGTGGGTTCCTATGTATCAGTCCACCTCTCTCTCCCTCCCTCTTTCTCTCTCTCCTTCCTTCCTTTGCTCCTTCATTCAATCTCCTTCCCTCTCTCTGATAGAAATCCACCTTTCTCAGAGTATACTTGCTCACTTATTGAAAACATAGTTTTCTGAATGCCTACTATGTGGCTGGCACTCTTTTAGACTCTGGTGATGTAATGGCATACAAAGAAGACCAAGTCTCTGCCATCACGGAACTGACTTTCTAGAACTCTCTGAATTTAGCTGAATCTTGGCTCTTTCATTGCTAGCTTTGTAACTTTGTGGTAAGTTACCCAGCCTCTCTGTGCCTCATTTTCCTCATTGATGGCGATAATATTGATATTTATCTCAACTGGTCCTTTGTAAAGATAAAATGAGGTAATACAGGTAAAGCATTTAGAAACGGAGTGTGTGGCTCAGGGCTAGTGCACAGTGCATACTGCTATTTTCATTGGTGCCGTTGCACTATCATCACATTCTTCCTCTCTGAGATGCTTATTGTTTTATCATTTGCCTGATGACTTGAGAGAAGGCTTTTATTGATGCCTTATTTTCAGGACCAGGGAGAAAGCAGGAGGCCTCTCAGAAAATGCTCAGGGAGCAACAGTTGTGAGCATAGCACGTGCCTGTTCTGTGGAAGTGCATTATCCAAGCATGTCTTAATGTAGTCATTCAGTGTCCTGCCAGGAAAAAGGAGAACCATCTCTTTTTATGTTTAAAGAGGGGCATGAGAAAGAAAAGATCAAAGTGAGCTTAAGGGACCCAGTGTGGAGTCAAATTACAGGAATTACATGGCTGTAATTCCAGCACTTTGGGAGGGTGAGGCAAGTGGATCACTTGAGGTCAGGAGCTTGAGACCAGCCTGACCAACATGGTGAAACCTTGTTTCTATTAAGATAAATAGATTAGCTGAGGATGGTGGTGTGCACCTGTAATCTCAGCTACTCAGGAGGCTGAGGCAGGAGAATAGCTTGAACCCGGGAGATGGAGGTTAAAGTAAGCCAAGGTTGTGCCACTGCACTCCATCCAGCCTGGGTGACAGAGCGAGACTAAAAAAAAAATGAGCTTAAGAGACACTTTGTAAGTATGGATTGAACATCTCTATTCCGAAAAATCTCAAATCTGAAACTTTCTGACTACTGACATGGTGCCCCATGTGGAAGGTTCCACACCTGACCTCATGGGATGGGTTACAGTCAAATGCAGTCAAAACATTTTTGTGTGTAAAAAATTATTTAAAATACTGTATAAACTTACCTTTAGGCTATGTGCCCAAGGTGTATATGATGCACAAATAAATTTTGTGTTTAGATTTGGGTGCTGTCCCCAGGACATCTCATTATGTATGTGTAAACATTCCAATATCTGAAAATATCCCAAATTCTAAACACATCTGGTCTGAAACATTTCAGATAAGGGATATATAGCCTGTGCATAGATCCCTGTGTACAGTAGCAAAGTCAGGTCTATTGCTTTTTCAAGGAATAACACAGCTTCTTTCTCTTACATTTGTAGTATACATCTAGAAAGAAGTAGAGTCTTCTCTGCCTTCTGCCAGCCCATTTCCTGGTCCTTTAAAACTCTTTGATATTGCTGAATGAGGTAAACCATCTCAGATATTTTTTCAGATATACCAAATTCTACCTTGGCAGTGCCTCTTTGTCCTGTGAGTCTTGCAAGTGACATTCCTGGTTTCTGACAAGGACCAAGATGAATCACTAGCTTGGGGTATCTTGTATCTCTTCACAATATTGATTTTAGGAAAATACTTTCAGCAGCTTGCAAAGCCATATATTTAATGTCATTTATTCTTAGAACATCACTGTCCAAAGAAGAGACAATCACCATGCTTTACACATACATTAAATAAATGATGCACTTATTAAAATAAAAAATGTTTAAAAATCTTTTTTAACACGGAAGAAAAGTCAGTCCTACTTTTTCTATTACTTTGCGTCTTGATAAAACTCTAGATGTAGTTTACTTTTAAAACAATTCCTTTTTATTTATTATTGTTATTAAACGTTAAGTTTTATTGCATCGTTAATTCCTATTTTTGTGAACCAATACTGTTATACAAAGAAGTGTGTACTTTTCTTTTCTAACCTTAGTTTTTGTTTCTAAGCTTGTATTTTTCACGAGTCAAAACAGTCCACTCATAGAATAACAGACACTGGAGATTCAGAAGGGTGGGAGGGTGCAGGGCTGACAGATGAGAAATCACTTAATTGGTACAATGTATGTTATTTTGGTGATGGAAACCCTAAAAGTCCTATATCCATGTAAAAACAATGCCATGTATACCTCCTAAATCTATAAACAATGTTTAAAAAGGAAATATGAATGAAAGAAGAAAAACAGAGTTCATTTTGAGCTCAGTGGAAATAATAGAAAGGAAAAGATTATTTTAAAAAATATCCCCAAAATAGTCCTCTCAGTGCTGAGGTGGTGACTACATTTTTGGTAATCTGAATATGAATCCGTGACAAGGGTGTTTTTAGAGATTATTTTGGTTACAACTGTTGTTTTCCTTTTGTTCACATGGACATTAACCTCCACTAATTTTTTTTTTAAAGCTTTATCCCCTTCTCTGTTATAGACTAGGTATGTGACTTGGAACAGATAATTTAGCGTCTGAAGGTTTTGCTCTTTTCATAAGTAAAGTGAAGAGTTGAACTTCATGATCTCTACACCTATTGGATCTATTAAAATCTATTTTTCATGGGAATTAGAGTATTTGAGATTTGATAATAAAAGTACTAAGGTTTCCTACAAAAGCGAGGCAGGAATCAGCTTCATTACTATGGATAAGTAATTAAAAAGACCTCAACAATGAAATGCCCTTGACATGAAAACTAAACTCATCCAACGTAATTCTCTTTTGGTGCCTCAGAAGACAATTTGAAAAGCTTCAGGCATGGCTGGGAACACTGTCCTTCATCAGTGCAGACTCAATATTAGACCAGAGTCTCCTGGGATTTTTTTGTTTTTAATTCTCTAACTAAATTTCATTATCAACACATTTTCTTATCATCTGCTTCTGTCTCATCAAGTACAGGACAGAAAGAACAAAATAATGATATTCAAGCATTTTGGTTACCAGAATATTAGATTAAGGAATCTTTATTTTGTGGGTTGTACAAATGAGTGATTGATTAATGAGTGGTTAGGTTTTATTCAGAAAATGGCATTTCTTTTTCCGGTGTAAAGGCAAGAGGGGATATTGAAGATATTGATCTATGGATCTGAGTACACTAAATTGGGGTGGCATAAATGACACCTACTTGGGGACCAAAGAAATTGCTTTATGCTGACTGAGGCTCCAGGTGTTCCTTATAATGGGATTATGTAATTATAAATTGTATTTCATTTTAAAAATTGCCCAATATCTTTTTCTTTTTCCTTTTTTTGGAAAGACTCTTTTATCCTCTACCCAAAATATCAGATAATCATGGAAAACACTTTGTCAGCTTCTTACCTTGAAGAAGGTCATTGTTGATCCATCTCTGACGGCCCCATATTCTATCTTGGTTTGCTTTGCCAGATCATCTGCCGAATCTATGGGGGATTCCATTCTCTCTACTGTCAAGAAGGCAGCCAGATTGGCAGTGTAGGATGAAATGATGATTAGGGTGAAAAACCACCATATCCCTCCAACTATTCTGGTCGATAGAGCTTTGGGCATCAGCTCTGATCCTGTGATGGTATCATCAGAGCAAGGGTGTTAAACACAGTCAGAAAGAAGGGGAAGACGTACAGTTTGACACTATTCTAGGGAGATCAACCCATCAAAGTCTTGCCATCTTGTATGTAGATGAAATAAATGCATTTTCTAGAAAATGGAGCAAAATCTAAAGGATTCTTTTCAAACCATTAATCACTACTGCTACTTTAACTGTAAAGTATCATCAATAGTTGATGGTATTAAAACAGTTTTAACCTGGAGATATTTCATGCCTAAAATGTAGTTAGTTGCTTAGAATTGAAAAGTTAATCCCAAGACTTTGCCTTTTATTACTGTCTAAATGCATCATAAAATGTGACGTAAAGTGTTTTCTGTCTTTGTATAACTATGAAAAGCTTTGAAATGCTAACATTTTTATTTAAGGTTGGAGAATGAGAGAAACGTAAAATATTAACATGCCATTTATCTTATGTACTTTAATAAAATATTGGGATATTACAAATAAAATGAAGTAAGATGCAGCCATGCTTGACAGTGGATGAATTAGTTTTTATTGACTTACGTTTCTTTAAAAGCCAGAATTCTTTTTTCTACTATAGATTCTTATTTGGATAAAAATACACATTCTCTGCAAAGCATACTTTTGTCCTTAAATAAAATGCTGTTTCTTAACTATGCTTCAAAGACTGGCTGTTCCTTAGGTGAAAGAAGACTTTTCTGGTAAGGAAGTACATTTTAGATGTAATTCAGATGATTTTAAATTATTTTTAAATGACAAAATAGAGGTACTTAATGTGTTTACCATGGAAATCTTCCTCTCTAAAAGAAAGGGTTCATGAGCTAAGTTTACTCACAGGAAAGACATCTTGAGACAGCCTAGCTCAATTTTGCTCAACCTGAGCTGTGGAAGTCTACACATTCAGCAGCAGAATTAGAATAAATGAGTACTATTAGAATTCACTCCAGTTGTACTGATTTAGAAATGGATTTTGGCTTGTCCATGTGCCTGAAATTTGCCATTGGTTCCGTACATAGCATATCCTCCATGAACCTGAAGGCATGACAGAGTTTAGGTGACCAGATAAAAAGTGAAAGAAAAAGACCCTAAATTTAAAATCCTAGAGTGAAGTACAGCAGGTAAGATGTCTGGTCTATAGGATCCTTTTATTATACTGATAGGTGTTTTGAAGCTCGGTAGTTAATAATGGCTTAAGATGGAAAGGAAAATTGAAGTTCACCAATCTACTAATAAATGAGTTTGTGCTCAGGTTTAATCTATAAACAGATGCACATACTGCTCATGAAATCAAAGCCAGCTCAAGGCGAGTGATAAGCATATCAGAGTTGGCAGAGTTTCTGGGCTTTGAATTAACGGATATATTCTCCTAATGCTATTAGGAATCTTTGTATTCTATTCCCTTTTAATGACGGAAATGGTTTGACAGCGATTTTTGTTTCCTTCTGTCATTTGTTTGAATTTGAGTGGGGAATATTATACAGATTTATAATGGTTTTCCATTAAATTGCCTCCAAGGATTTAGTGGAACAGTTTGCTGCTGTTATTTTAATATTGTGGTTTAATGGATTTATATGCCTGTGGTTGTGTGTATGTTTAAATGCCCAAGGTTGTTTTATATCTTTGTTCTTAATTGATCTAGCAGTCTTGTGGCAATGTGATATTATTTTAGATCTTTAGTTGGTTATCATTAAAATACCATTTATTTAATCAAATAGCCATAGGAAATAAATAACAGTTAATAGATATATTTTTCTTAGCTCATAGGTGCAGATTTTCTGCTGTAAATTTATTCTTTTGTTATTTGGTTGCATTTATGAAAAGGCAAGGTTTTAACTTATCTCTGTATTTGTATAACTATGTATTATATGGCATTAAGACAGGACAGACAGGTGAACAACAGGCTGTTGATATGTAATAATATTAATTCTCATCTTTCACACTTTCAAATGCATATTTAAACTTTTAGATAAAGTTACCTTAGAAATTTAATAAAAATATTAATAGAAATGTATTGAGATTACATTGTAAACTTTCAGTATATGGCATCAATTAGATTTATCTATGTTTCTTGTTTTCTATTTTTACCTAATTTTGTGAATTTCATAGTTCTCCATGTTAATTTAAAATGCTTAGAAATGGCTTCTTTCAAATAGAAATAATTTGTATAAGTTTAGTACTCTAGAGGATGAAATTATGAAAGCATTATAAGTTGAGTGAAACATTACTAGAAAATATTTGGAATGAGAGACAATACTTGCTGAAGTCTCTTTAGTGCCTTTTATGGCAGACATGACAGCCAATCCTGATCCAGACTTTGCTCACGCTCTGTAGAAAAGAGAAAGTCTGATCATCACATTAAAAAAGTAAAGTACAGCAGGTCAGATGTCTGGTCTATAGGATCCTTTTATTGTACTGATAGGGTGTTTGAAAAAAAAATGTAACAAAATGGTTTCCAATTGAGTACAATGACAAGCTTCTGCTAACAAGAGAGAGCGCAACAGAGGATAGCTACCTGGTTCAACGCCACATGCTAGAGACAGATGCACTAACAGTCACAAGTACCTCAAGTTTGTACCTGGAAAGATTTGTTGCACTTGACAAATGTTTGTAAACTTCTTAAAAGACAAGCAGAGTCTGGTTGGGGCTGACTGTCATGTACCCAAGGTAGTGGTAACTAACAGACACTGCATCCCACAGTGTGCTGTGGATGATGGTAAACTCCAAACAGGTAAAAGATGAAAGATAAATTCTGGGGGTGGGTGCACTCACATGACAGAAGGCAGCCACAGTCATATGCCTGCACAGGCCTGCTGCATGCTCTGTGAAACCTAAAAGTATATATACATATTTATTCTAATGCCTGGAGAAGACAAAGTGTGGAGAAGGAGCAGGGATCTCCTTCACTCTGACGGTAATTGCTCACAAGATAAATATCCTAAAAATTAAATGCATAGGTAAAATAGTATATGGGGTTTTCTGCAGGATTTATACCTCTGTGCTATGCTCTAAATTTATGCAAGTGATTTCTAGTAAATCAGATGATATCTATACCTATTTAGCAGTGCCCACACAAACCACATTTAATTGTATAACTAGAATTTTCCCACTGTCTTTAACTATTTACTATTTCATTATTAGAATTTGGTATTTCCATAGTCTCTCTCTCTCTACTTTGAAGACCCAAAAGATAAATACTTCAAGTATTGTAATACTTCCCTAATGAGAAACCTAAGGGTTCACCCCCAAATAGGAAATACGTTTGATGTACATCCCAGTGGAATTTTCCTTTGCCACTGTATTTTGCAGCTTATTGTCAAATGAGCAGATATTCAAAACACAACAGCATCTGTAACTTATGATTTTCTTACATTAATGCACTTAATCCTGGAGTATTGTCTATACCATATGCCTGGCATTGAAGCTGAAAAAAAATCACAAAAGAGAGTTCTTCCAAAGGTTAAAACAACTCCCCCTTCCCCCTTTATGGAAGCAGAATCCCCCATTTCATAGGAAGTGTATAAAATATATTACATTTCTATGGTCAAACTTTATTTCCCTGACTCCTACAGTTTATTGTTGCTATGGTTACCAATTGAAGGAGATTGTGAAGTTACTGGGAGGCTAAAATGAATCTCAGTAGGGTTTGCCAGAGTAGTAATTAGGTGGAAGTCCTAGGTAAGTTCAGCAATTGGAAGAATCTCAGTGAATTTAATCTTCAAAGGATTTAAATTCCGCTCCTTTAAACCTCTCACTCATGGACCTATGGCTGAGAAGGAGAAGAGCAACGTCTCCATCTATGCAAATTTGTAAGCAATTTCTCGGGTACCTTATCCTTTGCTACCTACAGGAAGATTTGTATTTATTGCCTGATAGAAGTGTTGTTTTAGATATATAGCAAGGGAGTTCCATATAGGTCATTGGTTTTGCTTTATCTTCAGAACTGGCTAGAAAGTGAGTTGCTATTTTCTTAAGTTCCTGACACAGTGTTTCATCCTACCCTCTAGCTTCATGGTGGAGTTTACCAGCATGAAAGCCTGTCAGCACACTGTGGGATGCGTGTGACAAAGATAGGCAACCGGTGTACCTTGCTGCATGAGAGCTCCAACTCCAAACCAGAAACTATTTAGTAAAGTAAAATTGTTTTCCACCACGTCTGAGTCAGGGTTGCATGGGTGGGGGTTATACCACTCGTAGGGTGTAAACCTGTGGTAGTTAACAGAAACAGGCTGTAAATATCAGACAAACACACAAGGCACCAGCAAAACCTGCTGAGTAATGCAGAAAACCCAACAATTCATGGTGAAAGCTTCAAACCAAAGGAGTAAAGGCCATAGTCAGAAACTTACAGCTTTGGTGGGCAAAGTGCAAAGAGCCTTGACACGTTAATATTTACCAGACTTCTTATTTCTAGGCAAATGGTCAGCTGGAATTGTACTCCTCAGATCTATGTCTACTGAATTCTTGAGTTTTCATTCATTTCCATATTACTGAACAGCTAGATGAACTGTAAAGAAAGGATCACTCATCCCAAGTATTTACCCCACCAAGTAGCGATGAACGTGACACACACTTGTTGTATAGCAACTACAATGTCAAGATACTGTGTTGCTAGATCCTGTGGGAGACACACAAAAAAAGGGGTGACTTGCCTTCAAGGGGTTTGTATGGACAGATGGTTAGAAAGAGTCTAAGTGGCGTTCTGGCGATTTTGTCATGCATCAAAGGGGTTGCAAGGCCGAAAACAATCAGTGAACAAAATGTAGAGCTGAATTTGGAGCGTATTAGATGTTTTTGAATAGTACATGGGAAAAAATCATAATCCTAATGAAGAGACAAGGCTTACATTTGGAATTATTCTGGTCCAGGTCTAGTGGTATATATTAGTATTAACGACATAGCATGCCTCACTGGAGAATCTTAAGTTCATAATCTCCTTTTGATTTGTTTTAAATTTGTTTTCAGAACTATGGCCTGTGGTCACTTAATCACCAACCTGGTTTTGTAAGTGGTATGCTTTCTATAGCATTATTATAGCTCTACCTGCAAGGTGGTGTGCTATAGGCAGTAAATGTTTCTGGAAACACAGCTAGTAGTGTGGGAAGTCAACTTGGAACAATTCGCTCAACCTCTCCTCTCTGGCCTCAATTTCCTTATTTGTAAAGATGAGGGAATCCAGATATCTCTAGGGGTGTACTTAAAACAAAAATCTGCAGAACTAAATACATTTTTCGTTATTTCTCTATTTTTTTAAAGCATTGATCTGACCTAGGCAGCCCAAAGGAGGCCTCTGCTCTGTGGTTACTTTCCAGGGCTATCCTGCCAAGTGGTGCTTATTTTTCCAAAAAGGCATTAGCAGAAGCTCAACAAAGTGATCTGAAAATAATTTAAAATGCAGTCATTTTTAGCACTGACAGATTAGCCGTTTGCCGTTGGGTCTTTTCAATGCAAGCAGGAATATTCGAATAATGTTAAAACCCCATAAAGCCCAGGAGAACACATGGAATGCTCTCCAGCCACAAAGTTTCAGCAGTAAACAATGGCAGGTTGCTGACACACTGGGGAGAACTGGGCTTAAGGTGAATACATTATGTATATGAAAACAAGGCACATTGTGAATCCAGCACAAGGAAATGGGCAGACAATTCCTCTTCATGAAAAACCATTTTCTAAACCTTCAGACACCTTCTGGAACGTGTTCAGTGCCTCCTCATTGAGTCTTAGGGGGACTGGGATAACAGCTTGGTAGTTGATCCCAGCCTAATGAAATCCGACTCATTACTGCGGCTTCTCCACAGCTGCAGGGTACACCATGCAGGTTCCTAGGAAGCCGACGAATATAGCTATAATTGACAATGCCATGCCAATACATTTTAATTAATGTTTCAACAATATAATTAAGTTTTGAATTTGCACACTCTTATAGCCATAGTAGTGTGCTGAGCTGAAGAAATGAATACTAATATTAATGAACCTATTAATTGAAACAGCATGCAGAGTAAAGATCCCATTACTTAAACACTATCATTGTCACTTGTACAATAATTTTAAAATATTAATTGAAATAAATTTAGAGGCTAATGTATTCAAGAGAAGGGGTTTTATTTTTTTCAAATAGACCATAAGACTTGGCAACCACGAGCCCTTCAATATTCTGGCATTTCTCTCTCAGATACGCTCCCACCAATGAGCTCATCACTTTCCTCTTTGGAACGCTGCTTTTAACTTGGTCTTGTTTCATACTTTGCACTTATAAGAGAGCAATTAATCTAATTTTTGTGTGGCAAAAAGTAAAACTGTCTAAATAGCAATGTGATTCTGCCTGCTCTGCAGAGATATTTTAGGTTCCTTCTCTCTGGGATTCTGAGTGACTTATGGAGTATGTGGTCTGGTGAATATTAAACAGTGACATGATGCCGTGCTGTAAGACACTGGTTCTATAATGCAATAGACCTACCTGTTGCCTGGATGTAGACATTTCAGCTTGGAATTCCTAATGCCTGCTTAAAGATGCCAGTGTGACAGCGGTGTCAGCATTAGGAAGTCTGGTGAAAAGATTAGTATGTGACCTACACCAAAGATAATTCAAAACTGCTGTCCCCGAATGACTCTAAAGAAATCAATACTGATCTTTACTAAAATGGTAGAGAAGGGAACAAATGTGCTTAAAACCTGTGACAAAACTTGCATATAGAAGAGTAGCCTTATGTTGAAATGTGAAAGTTCACTTTGGGTTTATGTTTGTTTATGCCAGCCTTACACTTGAATGGAAGATATAAAACAAGCTCACACAGAAGTTTTCTAATTAAGGGTCTAATTTTTGTGGCTGAGAATGCACAGTAGGCTGCGTTGAGGAGAGAAAAATCCATCTTTTAAGGCAGAACGCTTTATTGAACTTGTAATCTAATGGTTGGGTTTGTATCATAACCATAGAATTTACTTTCGGCCGGGCGCGGTGGCTCAAGCCCGTAATCCCAGCACTTTGGGAGGCCGAGATGGGTGGATCACGAGGTCGAGAGATCGAGACTATCATGGTCAACATGGTGAAACCCCGTCTCTACTAAAAATACAAAAAATTAGCTGGGCACGGTGGCGCGTGCCTGTAATCCTAGCTACTCGGGAGGCTGAGGCAGGAGAATTGCCTGAACCCAGGAGGCGGAGGTTGCGGTGAGCCAAGATCGTGCCATTGCACTCCAGCCTGGGTAACAAAAGCGAAATTCCGTCTCAAAAAAAAAAAAAAAAAAAAAAAGAATTTACTTTCAATGGTTTTCTGGATATTTTTCTGCCAAATGCTAATTTAAAAAATGTCAATTTTTAAGAAGACAAACATAAATTATAGAACTTAAGCAGACATTCTATCGGATAATTGATTTGTTTAAATTGTTTATGTTGGACATAATTTCTTGGTATTAAATATTTTTCAAAAAGTGGAAACACAGTCAAACACAAAACCAAAACCCCAACATAGACACTTGTTAAAAGTCATAGTAATTAAATATTGTTTTCCTTCGTTTGTCTCCCCAATGTCTACATCTTTATGCATTTAATTCAGTTCAGCAAATAATTTTTAGGCATCTATCTAGTGAGGGCATTCACTTAACTACAGTGATGGGGCTTTATTTTCCTCTTTAAAGAACAAAAAAGAAAACAATTTACAACATAAATTCAAAAGTCTCCCTAGAGCTGTAGATGATTATGAGATTTACTGTTTTTCGTTTCCACTTTCTTAACTTGGAGTGCAAAACACTAAGGTGGTAACTGAAGGGGCAGAGTTATTTGAGTTCATGGTCTCAAACTATGATGCTGGGAAGTAAAAGTGAATTGGTACATCTACTTAGGCAGAATTTTGTTTTTGAAAATCACCTCCAAATATATATTTAGTGGCTTTATGAAGTAGAAGCAGGGTGGATTCAAAGGTGTAGAGAAGGTAAAGGAAGTTGAAAGTAGAGTCTTCACGGCAGTGTGCTTGTGCCTTGTAGGGAGTTCTTTTCTATATTGCATCCATACTGTTTCCAAGTTTGCATTTGACGCATAACACCTCCATGTCTGAACCAAGACCAGGGCAAGAACACAGTGGAAGGGGAGACAAGAAGAATAAGCGAAATAAGGAACGACTGGCTTATAAATGGTTCTCTCAGAGAGTAGGAATACCGAATGGATTGCATCAATGGTGGTTGTGGGGATGCTATTACCTTAATAGAAATAAAATGTGGGAAGTCAGAAATATGGAGGTCTGGGTCACCACGAGCTTATGGAAGAACAGATAAAATAAGGAGGGAACACTGCTGAATGGCATGCCATCCTGACATACTCTGATGACAAAAATAAGGAGATTTAAGTGCACAGTTTGAGTCAAGTGTAAAAGGGTACTTTCAGCCTGTGTTCTTGTGAGAACTTTCTGATGCTGCTGGCATTTCTTCTCCCGCTGGCTTTGATCAAGTCATGTAATAAACATGTATTTTATTTACATAAAAGCAATGTATTTTCTCATCAACTCGCCTTGCCTGTTCTACTCATCAACATCTCTGTCTAGAGAGAGCCTGAGACTGCGAAGTATGAAAACTCACTTTTCTGTTGCCCTGGGCTGCATGAATTGCTCCACCAGTCAGAATATCACCCAAGAGGCATGGGCCTCAGGGCAGAGGTATGCAAGAACAAGTAAACACAAGATTCCTTATTAGAAGGTGCTTTACCTTAGGGTGGTCATTTAATAAATGGCCATTCCAAGGCAACAGTAACTTCACTGAGGAGTCAGTAATGAAAAATATACCTCCAAAGGTAAATGATTATTTATTAAATTATAAACAATTTATTTAAAAAAAACTTTAATACCCAAAGCAATGTTTTGAGCATGGGTTTGTGAACCCTGGTGCTGTTGACATTTTGAAGTGAATAATTTTTGGGGCATGCCTGTCCTGTACGCTATAAGATGTTTGTCAGCGTCCCTGGGCTCCATCCACTTGGTATTACTTCCTACTCCCAGTAGTGACAACTAAAAAAAGGGTTGCAAATATTCCAAACGTTCCCTGTGGGACAAAATCACTCCTAGCTGAGAATCACTGATTTAGAGTATTAAAATATAAAAGGATGATATTACTGTGCATACGGTCAATGTTTAATTTTCGGAAGTAAGGCATACCGAAAGGGAGATTGGGTCACTAAAAACAAAACCTGAGCTTTGGTAATGGCACACTCTAAAAGGCATAGAGAACTTGAAAACATTCATTTCATTTTGAATGTATAAATACCCACATGTGAGAGCACACATTGATTTGGTTTCAGTATGTCTGCCTTGTGAATCTTTAAAACCTTTCCAGCCTGGGTTATTTTCCCAAGCTTTCTTTATAATTACACCAGGGAAAAGTTACCTGGCATTAATCAAAATCAGACAGTGGACAATGACAAAGAGCTAGCATGAAGAAATATTTCTCTTAGAAATTCCTGGAGGGAAAACAAAAATCGATTAGGGAAAAAGTTCACTGAGTTTTGTTGAAAGGTGAAAATGATTGAAAACAAGTAGGGACGTACAAAAGCAATTTTTTAAAAACATGGTTTATCTAGGGATAGCAAATGTTTAAGCTAACAGAAAGATAAAATAGCTGTTTCAAATTTAGCATTAAAGGTATTCAGAAAATATGATCCGCTGAAAGGTATAAAATCCTTTAAGGAACTGTGTAGAACAAAAGAGTTAAATACAGAGTTAAGTCTCAAAAAATAAAAACCTCAACTGAATCATCTTAATGGTAGCACAGAGGTTTCATGTCCCCAGGCTCTGTATATAAGCAATTTTTCCTTTCAGCATTATTCCTAGAATTCTCTTTAACTTTCTAATGTTTTAAAAATAAATTTAATAGAAGTTTTGAAGTATTTTATTTATTCCTAAGGACTTGACAACATTTTCCCTTCAGTGTTTTTTATTTGCTATGATAATTATTTGCTAACTTTTTAATGTTTTGCTTACCTAAATATTCTAGGGGTCAGATATCTTGACACCATTTTACTATTCCTATGGAAACATTTTAGACATGAGACAGTGCTTTTGTTATATATCAAAGAAAATGGCTAAATAACCATTTTATGTTGCTTGAAATAGGGATAAAGTTAAACTCATATTAAAAATTATCTTCCTCCCTTTTAAAAGTAACTTTATAAGTAATTAGAAAACATTCATTTACAGAATGGCTTTTATATGGAAACCTGCGAGAATAGAACACTGGCAAAACTAAAAGTACACTTTGAAGTTCTTAATTTTTGTCTGCCTCTGGGACATACAGGAATCTGAGACTGACCTACACCTCTTGTGAATTCAGTGGTTCTTAAACTTACCTTGCAATCACAAAGAGTACACAACTGACTCCCAAGCAGGCTAAGAGCACATACATCCAAATATCTGGAGACAGGGGGTTGAGAAAGGAGAAGACGCCTGGATTGGTACCATTGGGCTTCCGATAGAGAATGCTGATGCCTAGGGTCATGAAGGGTTTGGAGAAGTCAATGACTTTCTCCCGCACATAGGTGATGGTAAGAGGAGCCACTGCCAGGTCAGCCCTCTGCAAAAGCAAGTTCAAAATTATCAGCTTAGTCTGGCTTCTTTGCAAATATCTAGACACTGTAAATGTCACGAATCTCCTGTGATAATTGGTTCTAATACAAAAACCGTTGATTTAAAAAGTTATGTTTATGAAATAGTATCAGCAAAGATAAAATACACACATACATACAAAAACATATATATATATAATTCTGGAACTAAATGAAGACAAAATAGGCAGAAGGATGTCTTAAAAGGGTATGTGAGAAAAAGAAGGAATGAGCAACTTGGTTATACTGTTAGTTAACATGATGAGATTTTGCTCTGAGCTGACAACTTTAAAATTCTTTATTTAAGAATCACTTAAGTTTATTTTCAGTATGCAAAAAAGGCCCATGGTTGGGCACAGTGGTTCACATCTGTAATTCCCAGTCTTTGGGAGGCCAAAATGGGCAGATGACCTGAGGTCAGGAGTTCAACTCCAGCCTGGTCAACATGGTGAAACCCCGTCTCTACCAAAAATACAAAAATTCTTTGGGCATGGTGTCAGGTGCCTGTAATCCCAGCTACTCAGGAGGCTGAGGCAGGAGAAATGCTTAAACCTGGGAGGTGGAGTTTGCAGTGAGCAGAGATGGTGCCACTGCACTCCAGCTTGGGCAAAAAGAGTGAGACTCCATCTCAAGAAAAAGAAGAAAAGAAAAGAAAATGAAAGAAAAAAGAAAAGGAAAGAAAGAAAGAAAGAGAGAGAGAGAAAGAAAGAAAGGAAGGAAGGATCCATATGATATGGTTCGGCTCTGTGTCCCCACCCAAATCTCAGCCTGAACTGTAATAATCCCCATGTGTCAAGGGTGGGACCAGGTGAAGGTCATTGTCTCATGAGGGCACTTTCCCCCATGCTGTTCTGGTGATTACAAGTGAGTCTCATGAGAAATGATGGTTTTAGAAGTGTCTAGCATCTTCCTGGCTTGCACTCATTCTCTCACCTGCCACCCTGCAATGAGGCATGTTCTGCCATGATTGTAAGTTTCCTGAGGCCTTCCCAGTCATGAGGAACTATGTCAATTAAATCCCTTTACTTTTAACTTACCTAGTCTCAGGCAGTTCTTTATAGCAAACTAATGCACCACATATTTTTATCATTGATTTTGATCTTCACTTGCCCTTCTAAGTAAGCAAACTCCATTTCTAGGTTGTCTTCCTTTGCTTCTTAAAAAAAATTTTACAATTCAAAAAAAAATCAAACGTTTCTTCTGTAATAATTTTTTTCTTACTTTCTCTTATGCATATTTTCAGATACATTAGAAATATTGTAACTTACGTGATCTATGAGTTCTTTAACCATCCCGTTCCACTCTCCTTTGTCATTCTGGGCCCCATATTTGCCATCGGGAACTAGTTTAACATCATAAATGAAACCCAGGATGTTTGACAATTCTTTCAACAGGTCCAGGCAATATCCTTCAAATCGATCATTTCCATATAGAGGCTTATCAGATTTCCTGTACATAACATAGGGTTCTTCCTAAAGGAAACAAACCAAATATGAAAACCCTGTTATAACGAAAGGAAGAGTTTACTCCAGCAGCGGCCTGAGGATGTGAAATATTTGAAAAGGATTTTGAAGAGCTGAGAGTACTGAAGTCATTCACTCGTCTGCCTGCCTCTGCCTTCTATAAATACAGAACACTTCCTCTATTACTGTTTCTTCCCCTTCTGCCTCTTTAGATGGGAGCTCTTCCTTCCTCTGTGGAGGGTGGGGCTGTGAGGAAATGGTGTGATGGAGACAGAGTCACATTTAAATGTTGGGTCTGAGAAGAAGGAAGGCACAGAGGGCAATGGGAGCCCCGATGCCTGGCCACCTGCTGTACCAATACCCAGGCTTTTATTGTATGACCCCTCACTGTTCTGGGTTTTATCTCAGAGCCTCATGACAGAGAAATGTATATCACTAAATATCTCCTTTCATTCTTTGCACTTCCTGTCTATGACTATTCTCATTTCTTCATCTAAATTTCATCTCAATTTAACTATTCACTTACTATCTACACATTTTGGTTGGTTTCCTTCAGGGTAGCCCATTCCAAAGGCCATTTTTATGTCTTTTATCATCTGTCCCATTTTCTTTTTTGAGACCTTAAATCTCACATCTGCTTATTCTCTGCTTATCCAGGTACATGATCAATCCCATCTCCTATTAAAAAATGTACATTTGCCTACTACCATGCATCTATAATCTTGTTAATGCTCATTTGACTAAATGAATGCTCATTTTGTTTTATAAAATTGTAATAGTTGCTATACTGCTGACATATTCTTTAGGTTTATCCTCAAATAAACTGATAGTGGGGTCATTCAAACACAACAGAGAACTGTCCCAGATAAAAATGGACATTTGCAGACAGAAGCGTTGACATGAAAAAGACAGTTGAGGAATGCTTCAAAGTCTAAGGCAGGAGTCTGGATAAGACATCCTCAATTCCACGAAGTCAACTTACCAGAATGGTGGTGACAATGAGTGTTCGGTTGGCCAGTGAGTCAGTGATATTGCTGGACTTGTCTTTGTTGCTGTCCGTCATGTTAAGCCCACTGTTGGAATTCCAAATCCCAATCTACACAGAACACAGTACATCAGAGGCTGCTGGCTGTCAGCGTGACATTTACACCAAGGAGAGGCCCTTTCTCTACCAGGCATGGGCAAAAGCTCATGGTTTAGGATATCAGGGCATCACAGTGGAAGCTACTAAATGTGTGAAAATGAAATAATGGAGAAATGAATGTGTAGACAAAAGAGGATATATCTATGCTACTGGGGGCAGTGGAGGTGGAGGTCTTTTTGTTTTAAATTTAGTAAGCTCATTGTTCTCTTTTAAATTAAAAATATTTAAGAATTCTAAAATGAATATCAGATTTTTCTTCCTATATATATTTGTTGAGGATCTACTTATGTGCCGGGCACTGTTCCAGGCACCTGAGGACATAACAATGAATAAAATACACAAGGTTTCTGCTTTTGTGGATCTTACATTCTATTAATATAAACCTTAGGCTGCTAAAGTGATATCACTAATTGATTTAAAATTTATGAATAATGGGGTGAAGGAGCAGGATGAGTGGTGGAGAGTCCAGGCATCTGAAAGGGAAGGATAGTGGGTTGCTGTGGCTCATGCCTGTAATCCCAGTGCTTTGAAATGCCAGGGTGGGAGGATATCTTGAGAACAGGTATTCAAAATCAGCTTGGGCAACATAGTGTGACCCTATCTCTACAAATTAAAAAAAAAAAAATTAGCCACACATGATGGTGCATGCCTGCCATCTCTGCTACTCAGGAGGCTGAGACGGGAGGATCGCCTGTGTCCAGGAAGTCAAGACTGCAGTGAGCGGTGATTACACCACTGCACTCCAGCCTGGATGACAAAGCAAGACATTGAAAAAATATTTTTTTTTTTCTACAAAAAGAGAAAGGCAAGTGGAAGAAAACATGTCATGTGGATGAGAAGTAGACTAAGTTCAGGGCCTATCTCCTTTGAGGAGCCAAAGCTGGGCACACAGTGCATCTCATAAACCTTAGCAGGACTGTTCCTATCTCTGTCACAGCAGCTGGCATCTTCTGTTATTAGTTATTTGTTAACCTGTCTTGTCTGCCCACTTGATCATGAACTCCTTCAGTGAGTATACTCACTTTTACTGCTCACTGATTTTTCTGTCACAAAACCAACCATGGCAATTGGCATTCGGTAAAGCCCATTACTCTTTTTAAGAATAATGATCCACAATTTTCTCCAGTGGCCAAGTCACTCCCAGGTTATGAGGCTGTGTAGAACTATATTGATTTCTTCAGCCTCTGAGGGAACCCGGAAGAGGAGCCTTAGGGATTTTGAGCTATTTTTCTGACTCTTTCTACAGGCATTTAATGACAGCCTCATATAGTGGCCTGCAAGTATGTTTTAGAGTGAGGAAGACCTTGTTGCTGTGTGTCCTTGGATGAGATTCCAATTTTTCTGAGCTTCAGTCAATTCTTTACCTATAAAGTATTTCATAAGAATAACGAGAAGATCAAATAATCAGATGATGTGCGTGGAAGTGTTGGTGTGTGTTAAGAGCTGCACACACGTTAACAATAGAGGACATTCAAAAGACTGTCTCAGTACTTTCTTCAATCTTACCTGTCGTGAAGGAATTTGGACTCATTTATAATTAAAAAAAAATTCAGAATCTGATAAAGTAAAAGAACTCTGAAAAGGGGGGCAGTTTAGGAACATGAACACTTGGACATGCCCTGAGATGGACAGGGTGGATGTATGCTTGGTTCCTAAATATATTCCTCCAATGGGAAGACAGGCGGGAGCGTTAGGCTCCATCCCCCTTTGCTTTTCTATTTCTTGACTCTGATTTGCTGCCTATATTTAGCAGCTGGAAATTTATTTAGCTGGACAAGTGTCTTTTTTATAGACATCAATGCTTTGAGGAATTTTCAAGGAATATTACACATTCACACATCAGTGGAAACTATTTCCATTTCAGTGTTTTTTTCTTATTCTTAATTAGTGTTAGTTGATTGGAGAAATAAAGAGATAGGTGTAGGTAAATGGTGGAATGGGATAGATTTTGCGTTTGAAAATACTGTGATGCTGTCTGAAAAGAGGTGTTTGTTGGGTGGTAGGCTGTACTGTTAGTAACCACTCAGCATTTCCTGGATCTAGTGTGATGAGTATCACCGAGAATGCACATTATATGTCTTATTATTATTATTGGTGGAATAATCTTCAGCTTTCTCTGTCTGGCTTTAGAGTCAGGAAAAGTGGACAGCATTTTATTCTTTTTCTTCTCAACCTCCACCCCTTCTTCTGAGGCAGGGACTCTTGCTTCTAGGAAATGTAACTACGGCTAACTACACCTGTCTATTGATTTTCATTCAAGGCTATGCTTTAGGTTGTGAACAATCAAATCCTAGCTTCATGAAAACTGTGTGTAAATTGGGCCCTGACTGTACTTCTAAGTAAAGCTTCATGTAGGCACTGAGGAGAATGGAATCTAATTTTTAATTAAGAAAGTATTGAAGGGTGGAGAAAATGACTGTTTTTAGCCACTTGGTTATGTAAAAAGGTGTATTCTCTTTAAATCTTATTTCTGTTAATATCATGTATGTGTGTGTTGGAAGGAACTACACTAATATTTGAAAATGACTGTGTTCAATAGCCTAGCAATATCACTGTCTTGTAAACTAGAACTTGAACTTGAAGACAAATATAAACCACAGCCTGATGTCTGGTTTTTCTTTCTTTTGCCATCTGCACTGTAAGTGCAGAAGCTAAGAGATCATTGCTGCTTCTGATCCAATCAACTAAGTCCCAAGTCCTATTCAGTTTAAACTTTTCTCCTTAAAATGAGAAAAGGGTGACCAATTTTTCCCTTATTATGTCTACATAGGAACCCACAGAAGATCCTTCAAATGTAGACTGGAAGAGTATCAAAATATAGTAAAGGTCAGGCTAATCCTGGGAAATGTTCAGTACATATATGTAATTTGAATGACCTCGATATTCTGTTTCCAAACTTGTAATCAGCAAAACAGAAATGTGTGTGTGTGTGTGTGTGTGTGTGTGCGCGCATGAGCACATATGTGCACCTGTGTCTTTTAACCCAAGTAGTCAAGTGGCTTTATCTGTTACTTGAAGTAAATAAATATGTTGTCAGGAAATGAATGTCTCTCTTTAAAGAAGTCAGACTTCATGATTCATGTGTGCTGGAGAGAGAGGTGCAGTTAAGAAGATGCCTGGATATTTGACATTTCAGTTCTGTTCTTTGACCTCGGAGGAGTGCCTCCAGGGAGCGGAACCTCAATTTTCAAACTTTGTAGTGAAAGCAGACAGCAGTAATTTACCAGTGAGAAGTAGTGGAGCATGGATCAGTTACTGATGGGGAGGAGCACTCAATGTCTAAATTATCTGGCCCTGATTTCTTTCACTTTGTAAGCTGGCACAAGGGAACAGCCATTTGTCATCTAGGACAACGGAGAAAATTATTTGAAAATGAGTGCCCAAATGACATTAAGCAAACTTTTTTTTTTTTTTTTTAAAAGCAATGCAATAAAAAGGGCGTTCGGAGAATAACTAGTATCTACCTTCCGAACCTAGGCAGTGATTCATGTAAACTCAACATCTAAAATGGCTGAGGGAAATAATCAGGTATCTAGGGAAAAGATAAAGGTATATGTGTTTCCTGTGTTATGAGCCTTATATAACAAATATTTTAATGAGGGGTGTTGTAACGATTGCTATCTCCCTCTTTTGGAAAGAATTTCGGGTGAATAATATTATTCTAAAATAAGTCAGAGTACTGAGGAAAGCTTTTGGAATTTAAATATGATGAAGGTGGATTTTTGTTTAAGTTGGAGACTTCTGGAAAAAGTGCAATGTGCTCCTTGTGTCTGAATGGGTCACTTGTGCTAGAAATCAGGTTACCATGAATTTTTGATGAACAGTCATAACACAAAACAGCACACCACGGTATATGCAACTTACAATGTGGAACATGATGGGCTACCAGGAAGGAAGAGGCAGGAAGGCAGGGAGGATCAAGACTGGAAAGTTATGTCCCTGGGAAGTGGGTGTGGATACTGCAGTTTAGTGACAAATACAGGACACTCCTTCTCCCCTGCATATAATTTGAAAGCTTGGATTCCATTCCCTAGGATATTTGTGTTAGATTAATTCAAAGTGCCCAGAGTCTCAAGATGGATTAGTGTAATAGGTTTTATTTTTTCTTTTCTGGGTGCCAGTTAGGCTTATCCATTTATCAGTGAAATAATAGTGAGGAAACTGATGACCTTCTGTGTGCATTTAGTAGCCTTGTTCACTGAAGATCAAAACAAGGTTTTTAAACCTGTTTTGAAAACTTGAAAAAATTTTTGAATTCATCACTGAGTATTACTAAGAGGGAGACAAGGCTTTTGGCTACAGGGAGGACACTTGTGTATACTTTCTGTGACATAGCTGATAATTTGAAAGATGAAAGTGAACCTGACAAAGCTGTTCACGTTGAACAACCTGAAGCAATTTAAGGTCCATCATCAGTCCACAGAGTTTTTACCAAGTAGTTTTAGAGAGAGAGACAGAGAAGAAAGGAAGGAAAAGAAGAAGAGAAAGAGAGGGGAGATGAAAGAAAATGTTTGCTTATCACTGGGACCTTTCTCTGATCCAAATGTTTTTAATGTCTAATATTTGCTTATATAAATCTATGCACACTCACTGGCAACATGGCACTGTATAATAAAATATAAAATGGTGGGTGTCATAATTCACAAGATAATCTCATTTCCTTTCCAAGGTCCCTAATGTTTGTGTCCTCTTTACAACTGTGGCTCTAAAACAAATTGCAAGACAGTATGCTCTGATGAAGATATCATACAAAACAAAAGATAGCTCATAAGAAAAGGAAATTTCTGAAAATGGTTCATCCTTTGTGGTGGTGACGTTGAAGGAGATGTCCTAGCCTTCTGAGGCCACAGCCTCTCTGACTAGACTAATGGATCAAATCTATTGTTGTTTTTCTCCCACTTAGGGAAAATGCTTAGTGATTTGAGAAGGAATGTAAATAGGTCAGTGTCTCCTTCTGTTACAGTTACCTCCTTTCAATCCTAACAGGGACCAATCCTGCCTGGGAGAAACAAATATAATCTTAGGGGAAATATTTAATCCACCATTATTTAATCCATTGCAAACCTGTTTTCATTCACAGGTGATGTTGTTGAGAGAGAACATATTTAATCACTCTTGCTCTCTCTACATGCAACATCCCCTCTAAGCTGCAGTTGGAGAGCTAGTTCTGACAGTATTGGAAGGACGCAGCCTTTTCCAATGACGTTCCCCATCCCACCCCCAGGTTTCCTGCAGTTGTTGTCAGAGTACAAACCTTCTTCCACACTTTATACAAGTGTTTAGACACTTCGCCAGCAGCCTTGGTTTTCAGAGAGAGAAATAAAATAAAAATAGCACTTAATTAAAATAGAGCGTGAAACCCAGATGGAATCATGGTGTGTGAGTGCTTAGAGTGTTACAGTTCCCACCCATTGTTTGGAATTTTGCATCTTAATTCAATATAAAGCCGGACAGTAGGTGCAGCAAAGAGATGAATCAAGACTTGGGTCTCACAGAAGTCACCTGGTGGTAAGATTCCATTTTTACTTTTCCTTTCGCACACCAAAAAAATGACTTAAAGTGCTTTTCAATGTATACAGGTATGCTGCAGTATTAAGGTGCTTCATTGTTCCTTAAGAAGACCCTTTTAAGGGATTGGTAACTAAAATCAATCAATCAACCAACAAATCAATACACATACACACACACACACACACACACACACACACACACACACACACACAATTCCTAACCAAAAAAAGAATGCTTCATGACTTATTCTTTGATTATGAGCTTCAAGGCAGTAGAAATTTGAGTGAAAGTGAGAATGGGATTTTTCTAATAGTTATTCCTATTGACCCCAAGAGAGGCTGTTGGGCATTTCCTCCCTCTGTTCCTGAGAGAGATATGTTGGTATCTCCCCATTGCCTTAAGGCTCAATCAGCCTTCTCAGGAATTAAGCCCCAGACACCTGAAGAAAGAAAAGTTATTGCAAACAATGAAGAGATAAGAAACAAACACAGAACACTTTCATCTAATTCAATTTTGTCTTTGATGGAAAAACACCAATGCAATGTGCATAGTATTGCAGTGTATAGATAGCTGTGAAAGCATAACAATAGCTTCATCTAGTTCATCGTTCACCTAGCCAAACACATGTTTCCTTGGCAGCTTTTCTCCCCTCTTCAGTGCTATACGTAAGAGGAGAACAGAGTCGGAGAAAGACTCATGCTTCAAGAAGCAGACATTTTCTTAAAAAACACTATAGGCTTTCAAATGATAACAAGCATTTTTTGTTGTTGTTCCCTCCAGCCAACGTCCCACACACCATTGTGGAGGCTGGCTGGATGCCTTGTGCTCTATCAGAGCACGTCAGAGCAACAGAGGTGCAAAGCAGAGTGAAGAGAGAGCCGGAGGATGGGAGAGGCATTTTTGAATGGAGAAACCTGCATGTCTAATGTGTACTCTCAAAGCTGCAAACGAATTATTTTCCTCAAACATTTTACACCAGTGGTCACCATCTACTACATTTAGCCTAAATGATCTTTGCTTCCATTAATGTTTTTTTGAGGGGGAGGGGTAGTTAGCACCTGCAAAAAAAATGTGTCTCAGTTAACAAAAGCAAAAGAACAGAAATGAAAACCTTACCTCATTTAAAACAATCAACCCAACTATTTCTAATTAAGCAAGCAATCGATTGTTCCCAAAGCCACTGTTACATTCAGCCACTCTCTTACTCACTGTAGTGGGAAGAAGTGTCGGATTACAGAGTTTTCTGTTTAGATGATTGTTTTGGGGGTTTCAGTTGTTTTCCTGTAACATTTTCAGTGCAAACTCTTGAAACTCTAAGTGTTAATTCCAATGGATAGTCATAAATACTAAAATTGGTTTAATAAAATATACCGAGAAGCCAATTTATTTTATCATTGTCATTTAACCAAATAGTTTACAATTGTTATTCTAAATAGTAACTGAAGTAGAACTTTAAACATGGACAGATTCAGAATTACAACTACAATATTCCTAAAGTGAGAACCCAACGTTAAAATACAGTTTTTTGGCATTTGTCCTAAAATTAAGAATGCAATGTTAATTTGCTCTAATAAGTCTCTTCTAGCCTACTTTATTCTGTCTGTCACCAATCTCAAAATAAAATAAAATTTGCAATTAAAATAATTTCTGGGTAACCCTTGGATAAACCATTGACAGCTTCTGCATTTCCAAGTCTAAACTCAATTTGTTAAAACCTTTAAGACACGGGCTTAATAACACCCAACTATAGGGTTATATATGTAATAATATAAACACACTTGCTATATATATGAAGCACTATATAAACACTAGTTAGCATTGCTACTACTAACACATGAAATTTAAGAATCTAGCACATCAACATCTATCTACAGGTAAAAGAAAGAGATAAACAAACGATGCAACATAACATACTGAGAGAATCACTTCATCATTCACCTACTCGTCTGTGCAGTTTAGTAAAAATGCTTGAGCAATGTGCATTTGTCACTTTATTTATTTATATTATGAAGGAGGTTACCTTTTCAGTTCCTTCCTCTTTGAGGCTAATAATGTCCAGATCAAAATCCTTCCTCAAGCCATTGGTTTTATTGAAGGTGATACGCCCAGTCAAGCCATCCCACCTAGCCTGCGGACAGCAAGGAATGTGACTGTTACTGTTTCACGCTTATCATAATTCCTGAGACCATCAAAATGATAATACCTCAAATTCATTACAGTATCCAATTACTTGGTTTCATCATGCTGTTATAAACCATTGCATCGGTTCAGCGACAGGATAGCAGAACACACTGTCATTTTATTAGCACTCATTAATTCCGTCACTTCTAACCTCCTAACCCAGTCATAACTACCTAAATGGAATGGAATACACAAAGTCTGAGAAATCACAATATTCTCTTTTCCAAGGTCAATCCAAATTTTCTTTGAGATATGGCTTAGTGGAAGTGAGCCCCTGTTTATTTTTTCTCTGTGAAAAGGATATGGTCCAATGATGTACTGCATGGTTTTTAGGCGGTTTATGACTTAGCACGTTTGCATCATTTGGCATTGTAATTTCCTGTGGCTGCTGTAGCAAATATGCACAAATGTGGGGGCTCAAAACAACAGAAATGTATTTTCTCAAGGTTATGGAGGTCTGAAATCCAAAATTGGTATTTCTGAGTGGAATGAAAGTGTCAGCAGGACCATGCTCTTTCTGGAGGCTTGAGGGAAAGCCCTACTCTTTGTCTCTTTCTGCTTCTGGTGGCTTCGGGCACTCCTCCTTCTCTTGTGGTTGTATCACTCCAATCTCTGCCTCTGTGGTCACATTTCCTCCTCTCCTTATGTCTGCATAAAAGCTCCCTCTGCGAAGCAGAGGTTGCGGTGAGCCAAGATTGTGCCATTGCATGCCAGCCTGGGCAAGAGAGCAAGACTCCATCTCAAAATAACAACAAAAAAAATCTCCGTCCGCTTCTCTCTTGTAACAACAGTTGGGATTGTATTTAGCGTTCACCTGGATAATTTCCCCATCTTAAAAATCCTTAACTTCACCTACGCAAAGTCCTTTTTGCTATATAAGGTAACATTTACAGGTTCCAGTGATGAGGACATGAATATCTTTTGAGGGAGCTGCTCTTCTGCCTATCTGACACATCAACATAATTTCAAATAAAAAAATTTCACAAGAGTCTGCCCTACACATAACTCACATTGGATGTCTCTTGTGGTTTTATTAAATAAAAAGCAGTGGCCCTTGGTGGGGTGGTCTTTAGCTTCAATCACTAGGTGATGTTTCCACCTTGTTTATTTGAGTTTCACTTACAAATGGGGATAAAGGAAAACTCAGATCTTTGTATCCACTTAGCTGTTTTTCTCCCTCTTGACTTTACCAAATTCATTAGACATGCATAAAATGAAAAGATCCTGAAGAATTATACTGTGTTTGCAGTTATTTGTGCCATGTATATCTGTTGAATGTATTTACTCATTTGGCCAAGAGGCAGAGCAAAGCAGTGGAAAAGAACATTGAATTTTCTAGACCTCTGGGGCTGAATCTCTGCAGTGTGACTTCAGGCAAGCTACTGAGAAACAAAATGAACCTGAAGCATTTTAATTTTTAACATTTACTGTTTTTATAACTGCCTCTCACTTTTCCCACTTTCATAATTCTAGAGTTTGGCTTTTATTTTCTCACACGTTTAGCCTTCATTTGTCTGTGCTGTATTTCATTTTACAAATTACGACCAGACTCATGGTCCCCAAGTAAATGTTCATATTTATGCAATTTCACCAGCACATAAAATGCATAATGGATTCACGCTACCTACAAATTAGCCTAAACCTTGACTTTACAGTGGAGGTTGTGATGGTTAATTTTATGTGTCAACTTGCCTAGGCTACAGGATGTCCAAATATCTAGTTAAGCATTATTTCTGGGTGCGCATGTGGGGGTGTTTCCAAAAAAGATTAGCATTTAAATTGGTGGACTAAGTAATGCAGACTGCCCTCTCCAGCTGAGTTGGTACCACTTGGCATTGGAAGCTTGTCAGTCAAACCCAGTTATTTTACTAAATTGTATTCTCTTTAGTATCTGACAAAATGACATAGCCCTTAGACGCTTTAGTTTTTTTCTCGCTCTAATTTGTTCCAAAACAAAATTTTATTAATTTGTGTATTTTACTTTTTTGTCTTCCGTCACTCCTTCCTCTCTTTTAACCCACAATTTCTCAAGTCATAATCCCATCTAAAAATGGTGAAAATATCCTCAACTGGGAGTCAAAAGAACGTTTAGTCTTTAAGCCACTATCAAGTTTTGTGGCTTTGGTTGTCATTTTGTCCTTTTTTTAGGCCACAGAGGAATGCATGTCAAGTGAAGATTTTGCATAAAATGAGCTTTAGCTCTGGAATTCTAGTATCTTAGGCAAAATACCATAGAGGAGTTTCATGAAGTTGAAAGTCATTCATTAAGCACCTATGGTCTGCAAGCTGGGCTATGTAAATCATAAAACACAGTTGTTCTCAGATTTTAATGTAAAACATATTTCTCCCCAACTATCTGGTTGGGGAGAAAAGACTACAGAATTCAGTTCACTTATGTTTTCACTATTAATTCAGTTGGAAAATATTCATTTATTGAGTATCTTCTCTGAGCAGGGAAGTATGCTGAGAATACAGCACCTAGAAGTTGACAGTTTAGTAGGAACAAACACATTAATGGATTTCTATAAAGCACCTTAGGTTTGAGGATAAAGATTTGCATAGAAGTTTGAAGAAAGAAATATGGATGAAGCACAAGATTCCTGAAGGCAAGACTGCCTGAGCTCACAAAGGATAAGGCTACCAAGCAAAGAGTCACAGCCTGGGTAAAAACGTGAAATAAAAACTAAATTATAAGTTTGCCATGAGACGCTAATGCAAGGTGAGAAATGATGAGAAATGAGCCTACGAAGGCAAGGAGTCTATTTATAAAGATGTTATGAAGCATGCTAGTTTGTTTGGACATTGCTCAGTAGACTTTTGGGGAATTGTTGGGATGTTTAAAACTTAGAAGTGCCATCGTCAGATGTGCATCATAGGAAGATCATTTTATGTCTTTTATAATTGGGGAGAATGACTTGGAGAGGGTCAACATTGTAAGCAGGGGGTTGGTTAGTGGGTGGTTCTCATAGAACAAAATGTATACAATCATATTCATATGCCCACATATGAACAGAGGAGTAGCACAATTCCTCCATCTCCCTCTCCCACCAGCTTGCATACCTTTCAGTATTAATGAAAATAGTTCCATAGCAGGATAGACAGAATTTCATAAAGAGCCTGTTAAGAAATCAGCTTATATGTAAGAAACCAGCATAATTGGCGAAAACATATTTTCTGGCTACCATTCAGATAGAATGGATATTATAACAAAAGCACATTTTTTTTTTTCTTTTTTTGAGATGGAGTTTTGCTCTTGTTACCCAGGCTGGAGTGCAATGGCGTGATCTCGGCTCACCGCAACCTCCGCCTCCTGGGTTCAAGCAATTCTCCTGCCTTAGCCTCCCGAGTATTTGGGACTACAGGCATGTGCCACCATGCCCAGCTAATTTTTGTATTTTTAGTAGAGATGGGGTTTCACCATGTTGACCAGGATGGTCTTGATCTCTTGACCTCGTGATCCACCCACCTCGGCCTCCCAAAGTGCTGGGATTATAGGCGTGAGCCACCGCGCCTGGCCTCAAAAGTACATTTTATCACTTGATGGCGCTGGAAGTTAAATCGATGGTGGGGAGTGATATGTGTACAAGAAAAGATTCCAACTTTTTCCTCTAAGCAGTCTCAATGGCAAATTAGATGTTACCCCAGCGCTATAACACATAAGAAATGCTTCTTCAGATCCTAGTACCGAGTCTCTTGAGGTTATTGCCAAGGGAGATCATAACACCAAACACTGGCACTAGCTTTAAACATGAATGGCATATCTTTATGGTCAGTAGTAACATCTGTTGTTACACTGGCTGAGATCCAGGTACTCATATCTCTGCAATGGGACAAAAACTATCAGCGATGAATGCACACAGGAGGTGTCCTCTGGTGTATATTTAGGTACACCTCTTGGCATTGCATTCTCCCTTTTCTCTCCATCACACCTCTAGTCTAGTTTTTGTACTCTGGTCATTCCTTCTTACTTTGCAAGCCAAAGGCTGGCTTTGTGGATTGATGGGTTAAACAAGAGCCATGAAATAAGCTGCTGTATTATTAGGCTTACAGCATCTACCCGTGAGCTGAAAACAATTTGCATAAGGCTTTGGTTGAGTGGCAAGCTGTACTGTGTTAGGAGTTTGAATTAAGTAAGTTTTCAGGTCCCTTGTTCATGCCTCTAAACAATGTACAGTTCCAACTGTCCTCCTGACCTGTTTGAAAGGAGGTAGTTATCTTCACTACATTCTACAGGATTTTCAGAAAGCTTTTTTCTAAAGGCAACTTTCCCTTTATGGGGGTCATGCTGTGAGTCAATTTGGTACCTTGTCCAGAGTGCACAGGGCTCTCTGAAAATGTACAGAATTGGTAGCATTTATCTCTTAGTGTAGCATATAGCATATAGTGGGGTCTTAAAACCCAGTTCAGAAATCCAACTTCATTCCCTAAGTGTGCCTATTGTGACTCTTTGTTTGGATTCTCTTGCGTTGATTTTTATTCTTGAACTTAGTGTTCCAATCACTGGTGCAGAGTAATTCCCACTTCTCACTTTTTCTCCTGCTCATCCAAGTGGCAAAAAAGTTCCTTTTCATTTTTTAACAATGCTTCCTTCTCTGCCTCAAATACCTATAAAGACTCCCTGTGTGGTTCTTTGCTGAATGGAAATATCTCTGACCTTCAACGTCGAGTTTCCCTTTCTGACACAATTACCCATGTCTTCCTGCCTCTCATCCCCTAGATGAGCTGCATTCTGTATATGTTGTTTTTCTGCAAACTAATTGCCAATAAGCATTATTAATCATCAATACACTATTGATTAGGGTGAATGTGCAATGATTAATTCCTGGATGGGATGAATAAGATTCGTTTTTCTGGGACAGGGCTGAAACATATACAATTTAGATAATGATATATAATTATATTATTTGTAATTACCATGTGCTTGCCTTACATAGAAGCATTTGCAGA